CTGCACTCCAGTCTGGGCGACAGAGTGAGACTCCAACTCAAAAAAAAAAAATAGGATGCAGGTTCCTAGGAATATTTAGGCTTATTGTCTAAAACTATGGTGGGATAGGTTCTTAGAATAGTATCATTTAGTTGCAGCTTTGCTTTTGATTTTTTTTTTTTTTGAGTCGGCGTTTCACTGTTGCCCAGGCTGGAGTGCAGTGGCATGCTCACAGCCACCATAGCCTTGACCTGCCGGGCTCAGGCGATCCTTCCACCTCAGTCTTCCAAGTAGCTGAAATCACAGGCACAAGCCACCACACCTAGCCAATTTTTTTTATTTATTGAAGAGACGAGGTCTTGCCAAGTTGCCCAGGCTGGACTCAGGCAATCCTCTCACCTCCGCCTCCCAAAGTGTTGGGATTACAGGCGTGAGCCACTGCGCCCGGGTGCTTTTGATTTTTATATCTTGTTTGTTTATCAGCATCAGTGTTGGCTGTTTTATTTGTAAGCAACTCTTTGTTTCCCTTAGTGCCCAGTATGGCAATATGCACATATTGCAAGCTTCATAAATATCATTTAATGATTATCCCAATTTATATCCCATTATCTTACTGCTTTGATTCTGAATTTTCAAGAAAGATGAGCAGACTCAGAATCACTGAATACAGTGGAGATAAGCTGCTGTGAATTGGTGAGAAATAATGCCTAAGTGCCCTGTTATTTATTTGGTTTGTATGGCAGAAACGTTATTAGGAAATAGAAAAAGCAAGCCATCTCTAGAGTGCAGATTTTGGGAGCAATTATCCACATGTGTGATCCCACTTTGTGGATATGTATGGTAAGCTAGTGTCACCTGCCTGGTTAATTTCTGGCCATTAATAGATAGAATGCATTGGAGGGAATTGAGTTGGCCCTGACTAAAATGGGCCACAGTTAAACCTTTGAGTGTGTATATATCTGAATGCATTCCAAATTTAATTTTAGTGATTTTTGGATTATTCATTTGATATTGATACTATGCCTTTTTTCCTGTTCATGAATGTGATTAATTGAAAGTTGACAGATTTCATTGATAGTACTTTACAGAAAATGTAAGTATACTGATTATAAGTAAACAGGCTTTGATTTTTGTTTTTGTTCTTTATTCCAGAGAAGACTCATTTTAAATCTCCTTTTGATGTGGTGATAGTGTGTGCATATCTGTGTATGTAAGTGTGTTAATAGGTTGTAGATAATTGCTGGTAACAGTTATTAATCAAGATTACTCACTGACATAGTTTGTCTTATGATTTATAGACAGGAGGAGTGTATGATATACCACATCTCTGAAATAAATGAGTCTAGTGCAGAGAAAGTATCAGGGTAATGAGAGAAGGAGAGAAGAAAATTTTCCTTAATTACCACCCTACCTTGATAAAGTTTTCTCAAATAAGTGTAAGCAGATCTAAAGGGGGCTGCAAGAAGGCTGAAACAAGCTCTGTTCCAGAGCTGGTTTAGTTAATCTAGCTCTTGGTTCAGTCTGGTTCACGAGGTCACTTACAGGACACAAGCTTGGCTCTCCTCATTTTTTCATTCACTGTTTTCATTGCATTCTTATTGCAGATCTAAGAATTGCCTGCAATCTCTAAATTAATATTTGTTCTTGTTTTTATTTTAACATTTTTCTTTATAAAAATAATATTAGCATTTCACCCCAAAGTATGAAAAAATGAAGAAAAGAAAAATAATTTCTAAGACTATTGCCCTTACCACTTTTAATATTCTGGGGGAGTGTGTTTCTCTTCTGCCCTTTGTATTTTGGTACATGTTTGTTTATATTTTAAACCACAGTATACATACCATTTTGGATTTAAATTTTTTACTTAAAATATAGTAAACATTTTCCCTTACTGTGACATAGTATTTATAATCATTACTTTTGACTATGCAATATTCCATTCAAAACACACACACACACACACACACACACACACACACACATGAGTCAGTACTCAAAAAATCCAGCATTTATTTGTAAACATTTGTGTATTTATTCTTATGTGTTTAAACTTCAGTCACCTTCAAAGTACTCTCCATTTGATGCAATATACTTATCGAGATGCTTTTTCCACTTCTCAAAACAGTTTTTGAACTTGTTAATTTTGATGCCCCTTAGTGCTTCTGCCATTTTTTGTATCACCTCTTCTACAATGGCAAAACGTATCTCTTTGAGAATTTTTTTCGTCTGGGGAAACAAAAAAATCACTCGGAGCAAGACTGGGTGGTTAGGGAGGGTGGGGTGTGGGATTATGCTGTTTCTGGTCAAAAACTGCTGAACATTCAGTGTGGTGTGGGCAGGTGCACTTGTAAATCACCCATCATGAAAGGGGCAAACGTGTTGAAAGACTCTCCAACAAAAGTTCACTGAAGCTAAACACAGCCTCTCACAACAACGCTAGCTGGTATACTGACGGATTCATAGAACACTCATCTAGCAGGAAAGACTGTATTACAAGGGGCCAGCCCTTCAAAAGATAATTCCAGTTTTTTGGGACACACACACACGATATCAAAAGCAAATTTTAAGAGATGTTTTCTATGTATTACTTTTAGTTTGCCATAATTGGAAGTGCCTGGATGCCAGTGGTAACTACTTAGAGTACCTTTTTTAATTGCAGAAGTCAAACGTGACTTGTATTCATCTTTTCTTATTGGTACATATTGACTATTACAATTTTAATACAGTTTTTTCCTTCTTAAAATGCGCATACATTTTTGGTAGCTTCTGCATACATACACATGCATGCACATACATACACATACACACAGGGGGCTTGAGTGTAGTACACTTGGAATTTGCTCCTCTGGATCAAACAGTCAACCAAAGTTTTTATCTGCATGCTTTGAGAAGGTTGGGCCACGATTTGAGAAAGAAATGTCCCAACTTGTGGCAAGCAGGTGACTGATTCTTCAACCATGACAATGCTCACACCATGTTGAGTGTTCACAGCAGTCTTTGACCAAAAAGAGCATGACCTCCATGCCCAAAGCTCCCTGTTCACCTGATCTCATCGTGATTTGTTTGTTTGTTTTCATGGATGAAAAAAGTCCTCAGAGGGAAATGTTTTGCTGGTATGGAAGAGGTGCAACAAAAAAATGGCGAAAGCACTAAAAGGCATCAAAATTGATGAGTTCAAAAACTGTTTTGAGCATGGAAAAAGAGTCTCAATAGGTGTATTGAATCAAATGGAGAGTACTTTGAAGGTGACTGAAGCTTAAACACATATGAATAAATACACAATTTTTGAATAAGTAAATTCCAGTTTTTGGGGGTCACTCATATGACACACACACACATGCACACACACATATATACATTCCCATATTTCTGGATATTTTGGCTATTTCCTAATTACTGGCTATAAGTAATGCTGTGATGAACATTTTTGTGAATAGTTTGTCTGTCTTTATGGTAGTTTCCCAGAAATGTAATAACTAGGACAATGGACATATAGATTCTGATGGTTTTTTTGATAGATATTAACAAATTCAGTTATAAAAGATTGGTACCAGTTTATACTGCCACAAAACAAAGCATGAGAATGTCTAATTTATCATACCCCTGCCTCCTGATTTGTCTTTGCTAACCTAGAAATAAAAAACCTGGGAAATAGAGTTTCACATTGGACTGATACCTACAATCAAAATTGAATTTGCTGCTTCAAGGCATGGTTCAGCATCAATTTATTTCAGTAGCAATATTTACCTACCTGGACCCAATAGGTATTAACCATAACTTCTTGTTATCTCCAAACACCTGCTGGATATTCTTGATGAAGCCAAGGTTGAACCCATTTTTCTCTGGGCCACTTGTAAACACTGGAGTGCAGAAGGCCTCTAATACAGGGTAGGGGATTTGAAGAAAAGAAGAAGAAAGCAATAAGGGAACAAATCTCAAAAGTCATGTTTCACAGTTCTCCATGAATATGACTTGAGTCTATAATATCTTTTTGCTGTGGTAGCATAGCCCTCTCATTCTTAAATTACTTAGCAAAAACCAGTTTAAATACTTAACACAAGCTAAGTTTGCTACTTAATATAAGGAATCAGAAGTCTCTTTTTTAAAAAGGTAGGGGAAACATAAAATAATTAAACAGTCACAGGAGTAGCATATATTTTGTACTGCTGGATTTAAGAAGTAAAGAAACATTTAACAGCACTTTATTTGAATATAAGTGGCAACAACAGCTAAATAACTGGTCTCCATCTTTAGAACTGGGACCAAAGTAATGACATATAAAGAGATAATAATGGTACTGATTTGGTAATTAAAACATTTCAGAAATGAAGATGTTTACACCAAAGACTGCAATGTAAGAAACCGAGTTTTACTTCAGATAAAATGCCAAATGTCAACAGGTGAACTATAATCACCTCAAAAGCTAGGAGGAATTGGACCATGTTAGTGCACATTATTTTTAGACATACATTTATTCTATTAAGCAAATGCTTTCACTGTTGGACTCTGGCTGCATCTGACCATTTCCTACTTGCTCTTTGTTTTCAGACTTTGTTACCATGAAGCTTTTAGTACTTTTCTTCTTTGTAGCTGGTCTCTAAGCCAAATGTGCTAATCTATGTACACAACTCATACTAGATGTATATTTGATTGAGAAAATGGGTGCAAATACTTTCTTAGTCATTAGCATTATTAGCAAATGAATTCCCAAAGCATAGTGGCTTTTGCACTTTACTCATATCTATACTAGCGAAACAGTCAACACTTGGACACTTCTCATTCCTAATGTAACTACTTTTTACACAATGTAAACATTTGCTTCACCATAGATGAAAAAAATTGGCATATTGGAATTCATCAGAAATACAGTGCTCCAAATAACTGCCTAGAGTAACTAACAGAATATATGTTTATTTATTGTACTAATTTTCTAGAGACTTATTTGTTCAGTGTGCTTATTTCATTCTCACAGTACCTATACAGTTCCTTGATGATTGTAGATAGTCATTGACTTGATTCTTTTTCAGGACTTTTGGATCCTTGTTTTGATTTGGATTCTTTTACAGGACTCTGTTCTTGGATGTGCTTAATAAATTCGATTCTTCTATTTTTATTGACTTTCACCTCCCCCTTCTGACATTCCCTTTTGTATAGATGATTTCATTTCCTCATGTGTAAATCTTTTAGAAATCTTCTGAGCTATAAATCTGGGGAGCTATTACCCAATATGCACTATAACGGGCAATGGTCATTTTTGGTTTTGTGTGGGGTTTCATTTACTAATGCTCTCATTAGTCTGTAAACTTAATTCACTGTGGCTTTCCAGTTTGATAAGACGTATTTTCTTTTCTTCTTTCTTTTTCAGCTTCCAAAGGTTTTATTGGTATATATGCCTTAGAAAAGAATGATTAAGCCTATTCCTTCCAAGTCAGTGGAATGAAGAACTGTGTCCAAGGACACACCAAGCGGTGCTGAAAGGGACTGTTGTAGTGTCTACCTCTTATTCACAGACATAGTCATAAGCACAAGACTTGTATTCAACCAGTTCTTCAGGTTTAAACCACAGGCTGATTTGTTTTTCAACACTTTAAACTGAGTCATTGCCATGAATGATGTTCCTGCCAACTTGAATGTAGAAGTCCCTGTGAATGGTGTCTTGCTTAGAATCAGCTGGATTGGTCTCCCCAAGAATCACACTGCCAGTCTTCACAACATGCAGCCCTTCTCAGACCATGGCCACCACCGGCCCTGAGTTCATGTACATTACCAGCCCAGGGATGAATGGGTGGTCTTTCGGGTCAAATGTAGTACTGTTTCAGGTGTTCCTCACAGGCCTGAAGGAACCATGGCCATGAGGCGGAATCCCTTCTGCTCAAAATGCTTGATGATCTTGTCCACCAGGTCATGCTGTAGGCCGTCTGGCATGATGGTGATGACAGTGTGCTCGAGGTTGGCCATGGTCTGGGAAGCTGGTGGGGCTGGGCTGCGGCGCTGCTGAAGCAGAGATCTGGGGCGACCCCTGGTCCCAGGAGCCGCCTGCAAAACATATTTTCACCTGTCTCAGTTTGGGGGCAAATGGGTGTCACTGCAGCTAAAATACATCATTGGAAGTTTTTTCTTCCTTGGGAACAATCCACCCTGATCTATATTAATATGTTTTTTCTTAGTTTTAATATTCAGTCTTACCTAAGGTGGTTTTGTTTCTGCCGACAAGCCAACAATGGTAACCAAAGAGAATCACAAGGCTGACAAAAAACATGCAGGCCACAAAAAGAAGAAAAAGGACATGGAACTTAGAGCGAACATTGGGCAATTCCCCCTAGAAAAGAAATTACAAATAAACAAAAAATTAGAGTGGTAAAGTTTGGCTAGTTTTTCTATATAGGTTAGTAGTGTTTCACATGTATAAAACATCTAGCTGTAATTTAAAAAGTAGATTTTGTAAAATTTTTACAAAATGATTCTTTCTGTTAATGACCATACCTCATTGTGAATATGCTCTCAGTCTACAAAGCCTTTTAGGATATCTGCTTAAATGCAGTTCTGTGTAAAATAGAGTTATATAATCTACCAATTAGATAAGGGTAATGTGTAAAGGGTATATACTCAGGCCATAATTGGTATGCAACTTCTTAAAGCTTGTACTCCATTTAGTTTGAAATCTTGAAGTCACATGGTTCATCCTCTCGTTTCAACGTGGGTTATTCTGGAATTCTTTATATGTGATGTTTCCTTGGACATGTTTGTGTTGAAAATGTCACAGTGATATATGTAGGAAGTTAAAACACATAGGAAGAATTTTAAAATGTCTTACCTATAAGTCACGACCTGATTTTAAAATTGCTGCAAATTTTGTGTGTGTGTGTTTTTAATTGCGGAAATGGAATGTGCTGGTATATAGTACATCCTGTGGAACAGCTGTTTAGAGAGTAAAAATCAAGCAAAATTTTACAGGCAATTATAAAAGTAGGTGGCTAAGGATTGCCATAGTTATTTGGGACATTTTATTATCCATGTGGCACCAGTTTTTTTTTCTACATTCAACCTAGACCAAAATGAATGTTCTAAAGTTCTATAGCATACACAGCATGTAACATTTTGTCTTTTCAAGAGAACCTTAGAAAACATTTCAATTTTGGAGTGAGCAGTTAGGGATGACCATTATTTATTTCCTCATTTCCCATAATGGTTCTTGTTTTGGCATGATAAATCACTTTGAAATATTTCCAGATGCTCTCTAATAATAAAGTTATAAGTGATTATTAAGTGGAGTGTACCCTAAATTCTTAATTATCTGGTTCTACTCCAATTTGGAAGGAGAAAGTTAAGGTTTGGCAATACTTGGCAAGTTCAGATTATTTTCTTTCTCTGAGAAAATATTTGTATTCATTTTTATGTAAGGAAATATTTGGAATATTTCAGGGTGTATATGTTTGAAGGATAAAGAAAGAGGAAGTAAACCAGCCAGCTGCTTTCAGCTGAGGGGAGGTGCGGCTCAAAATTCCATAGAGGCAGAGCAGCCCAAGAAATGGCTACCTCAAGGACTTCAACTAAAGAAATCTTTATCTGAAACTCTCCTTTTTGAAATGATCCTTTCATAAAATCTTGGCCTAAGCACCCACATTGAAGTTGATTGATTTTTGTTTGTTTTATATTGCATTTACAGAAAAGATTCCATATATTGTTTTGTAGTCTTTTTTTTCTTGATTGGGTTTTTGCTTTTATAATCTCTACTTTTTGAGTATTTTTTTAAATAAAGCATTTAAAGCTCACATTTCCCTTCTTATTTTTCACATTTAAAATGGGCAGTAGGAAATGACTGAGCAAGAGGGACTGATACAAAGTCCGTCTACATCCTGTGGAGCTGAGCTGGAAGTCTCCTCCCCCGCCACCATTACTCTTGCAGAATTTTCTTCTGTTTGCCAAAGCATATCTACCGTGCTGTCCCTTGACAGAGTTCTTAATATTAAACTTGTTGTTATTGTTAAAAGAGAGTGACAGGCTTATGTTCAAAATATCTTCTCAGAAGATAATCAAGTTAAATCATGCAAAACAATGGTCACCAGAGACAGTTCAGAGGAACACTGGTAAAATACTGCTATTCTCTTTTTTTCTAAAACAATTTATAGCCTCTGCAAGGTGATTCATGGCTCAGTGTGGGAGATATGTATCACTACTTTTTCACGGAAGGCTGAGATCATTCTCCTATCAAAGTAGTTATTGTTTATGCTAATATTGAGAGGAGAGAAATGATCTGATGGTCTTATGAATTCTTTATTCCAAAGGAGATAGAGCTTCTCCATAGCAGAACCAAAATGGGCACTAGGACATGGTACAGTGTATGAGATCACTGGGCTTAGGGTCAGATGTAGGTAGAAGTCCTGACTTTGAAATTTACAAGCTCAGTTTGAAATTTACAAGCCTCAGTTTTATATTTTTGAATTAGACTAATAATTCCTGCTTTGCCTACTTCTTAGGGTTGTGGTGAGGGTCAAATGAGATAATGGATATGAAAGTGCTACAAAAACTGTAAAGTACCACACAAATAGAGGTTGCTGTTTTTAGGAGCACAGCTTGTCTCCTTGATATATGGCTTTTAAAATACATGGCAGTATTTACTTTTTATTTTAAGGGGAGATTCAATTTAAACTGAGAATGCCATCTCCAAACCACACGAAGTGTTCTCTGGCTGGAGAGACTACAAAGAAACATTTCCCTGAACTGTCAATGCCCTTTTCATTATGAGAATAAACCAAGACAGATTTCCTCACCTCTCTTCTGTTAGGTACGAACTAGTTCATTATGGAGAAAAAATGAGGGAGTAGGAAAAGGACAAGGGTATGTTCCTCTGGTATTGTTTGTGAATACTGGCACATTTCTGGAAATTAATTCATATCCAAATATCATCTTTTAAGAGTGAAAAAAGCATACAGCACCTGATTGGCATTGTGGTATTTGATTATTGGCTAACTAAGAGGACTAAAGGCAAAATGTGTGAAATGCAATTATTGTTTACTCAGTTATGAAGGTAAAAGTTGGTTCTTATGCAGTAGCTTATTGTGTTAAAAACTAAGAAAGATCTATGTTGAAGAACGAGGCTGACACTTTCTCTGCTGAATGAATGCAGCAGATTTTCTTCACATTCAGGGTAGCAGCTCAGCATGTGGATGGAATTTCAAAAGGGTCATGGAAACCTGTGCAGTAGATCCTGTGCTATGAAAAGGAACCAAAGAAGAGATGTCAAGATATGTATGATATGGTGGAGCATTTAATGGAGAAAATTTATCAAAAATCTTCATTTCTGCTTATACTATTGTTTGTATCTCTGAGTTGATGATTTTGATAATCATTATATAATTCCTATTCTTAAAGTTATTAAACATCTGAACTCATTAAAAAAGTTGAAGGGAAAATGGAAAGTACACATCACTATAATTTTCTACTCTATATTTTGTATACCAGTAGGGAACAAAGCACTGAGGAAGAATTTAAATATTCTTGGCTATTTAGGTTCTTACTGTTTTTTCATTCTTTTTTCCAGTTTATTATAATCTATACTCTGGTCACAGGATTTACATTCTTTCCCTACAGCTTTACCTCTCCAACTGAGGTAAGATATTCCTGTTACACAGACTTTTGTGCAGTTCCTAAAGTAAAACTAATAGCTCTGCCCACAACTGTGTTTTGCTATTCAGGTTCAGTTTGGACAGCCTTCATCATGGATATCTTAGTAATTGTACTGGAGCTATAGGGAAGATATATCTTCTGGAGTCCATCGGCATGCAATAAAAAAGAATATATTTCACTATACTTCTGCCAGAACCTGTACACATATATAAACAAAAAAAATCTGTCTTAAGCTTGTTTTTCTTTTTTGGAAATAGATGTATATGATTGATATCTTCCAATAGAAGAAAGATGAAATAATTTTTTGAGATTTTATTAAAGTTATTGGAATTATATTTTGAAAAGTAAAGCACTTTCAAAATCTATTTCATTTGATCGTGGCAATGAGCCAATGAAGCAGGTAACAGAGCCAGTATTAGATCCCAATTCTCCTAATTGCCAACCCAGTGTTAAAAAAAATACCTCCCTATTCATTTTGGTCATATGTGAAGATAAGTCAGTATAGCTGTCCAGTAGGAATTTTGCAACTTTCCTTTGAACAGGGAATTAGAAAGTGTTTTCTAACAACGTGGGATCTTTGTTAGCTTTTTTCTTAGAAAACTAGGGATTTGGAATTAGTTTTGACATTTTTCAACTCTATAACTGGTAAGATGTGAATTTTTATAACTCACCTGCAGAAGTTCACTGTAAAGAATGAGTAGGAGTCAAGAGGTCAGGCTCCTGAAGGCCTAGCAAGATTCTCATGTATGACAGAAACTTGTTTAACTAGAATCTTTAAATAATAGCCTTCTAAATCTCACAGTATTCAACATGGAAAAATTGTTTTTAGCGTCTTTCCTTCTGGTTGCTTCGTATTAACTATTTCAAAATGTAAAAAGATATAAGGTGAACAATGTCACAAATAGGAGTGGGTGGGCATTTGTTCTGGGGGAACCCTTCAGGATATTTTTAACTTACTCTCCAGTATTTGATGAAATAGCTGAAGACTGTTGTAGCAATGTACAGGCAGTATAGAACAGAATAAGCTAAGAACTGAAGAAAGAATTTGTAGTTGGAAAATCCAATGCAGTTATTAACCCTAAAAAGAAAAAAAGAAAAACTAATTTGAAATCAGAACCTACTGGTTGAGAACACAGCAGTACATATGTGGAATAAGCAATGGAAGCATATTATTCCTGCTGTCTCATTATGTGTTATGTAGAAACCCAGTGGAGATGGAAGTCCCTTAATAAGAACAAACTGTAAAAACAAGTTCATGTCTCACTTGTTTCTTCTTTCATTTACTGGCACAGAGACACCTGTTCTACTTAACTGTTCTGGACTAGTTCTAGACACACCCAAGCAACCCTGGATTCTGGTTGCTAAAAAAAACCCCCAAAAAACAAAAAGAAAAAAACTATTATAGTCTTAACAGCTACACTTGGTACAGTTCCCTTTGCAGTTATGTGATTTTAGACTGTTTCTCTAGGTCTAACATACAATTTGGAGAACTGCTAAATTTAACAATCTAGAATATTTCAAACATTAAGCCAGCTAGAAACAGAACTGAATTGTGTAATGTTGAAAAGGAGAAATACTTGTGCTGTATTTCTTTTTTTGTGTCTGAGTTGGAGTCTCACTCTGTCACCCAGACTGGAGTGCAGTGGCTGCTCCCGCCCACCACAGCCTCGACCTGCTGGGCTCCAGTGATCCTTCCGCCTCAGCCTTCCAAGTAGCTGGAATTACAGGCATGCGCTACCATGCCCAGCTGATTTTTTGATTTATTGTAGAGATGAGGTCTCGCTGCCCAGGCAGGTCTCGAACCTGCGGGCTCATGCAATCTACTCACCTCAGCCTCCCAAAGGCGCGGGATTACAGGCTGAGCCACCGAGCCAGGCTTGTGCTGTATTTCATTACTATGCTTAACTGCTAAAGTTAATGAACAGGAGACTATTAGCTTTGTGACCCCAGGAATTCACTATCATGCCTTTACTGGTATATTTGTTCTTGTTTTAAAATATTACGCCTCCCTTGCTTCCTATACAAATACAAAGTCCAGTGAGTTATGATGGTAGAAACAGACATGTTACAACTATGCTTAGTAAAGTGGGCATATCGAGCAACTCTGACCCTTTTAGTGGAGAAAAATGAATCAAAGGGACGTACCAAGGGCAGTGATGATCCATTTTTAATACACACCTATAAAGGGGACAAAATACAGGGCGATAAGTGAAGCTACGGAAATGAAACAACACCTCAAAATTGAACTCAAGATTTCAGCAGCATTTTAACATGGTTTCGGTACACCCATTCTCCGATTTTCACTACAATGACTTCCCAAACTATTCTGTCCTCAGTTATTCTTAGCATGAGGCAATCACAATAACACATTATAAGATCATACTGGCAGCATGTCATATGCCTAGAAGTTCAACTTTTTAAAGAAACTGGAACTCCAGGATATTAATACAGAGAAAAATGCCAAGATGCCCTCTCTCATTTTATTCAATTTTCAGTTTAATAAAAGTACAGAAGAAAACATACGTATAGCCTCTATTTGAATCATGGGTAAGATAAATATGGGTGACATAAACACTCAAGAGAAAAGGCATAAAGATTAATATATATGTATCAACCATAAAAATGGAATTTTACAAAGATGGAACAATTTAAGCAACAAAACAAAGTAATTGGGTTATAATGCAAAATATAAAATGAATATGCATGTCTCCATATTGATATAAATAAATGACTGAATAAATAAGAATAAGAGATAGATTTTCCAAGCAAAAGAATTCCAAATAATTCAAGGAGAAAGGACACAACTTCTCATTCCTTTAGCATGAGCTGCACATAGTGGCTTCCTTCCAAAGAATAGAAAAAGTGGCTCCCTTCCAAAATATAGAAAGGGGAAAGGAAGGAAGAATAGAAGACAGAATGGAGGGAAAATTTTTATTTCTCTAATGCAGCTATTGCAGTGCATCATAATAGACTTTACAGTGGAGAAATCTGACAAACACTACTTCAGCCAGATAATCAAAATTACATTGTAGTGATAAGTCATGTTTTTATGTACCCTTGATAGGATATAATAAAAATGTCACTTTACCTCTAAAGTCTTCTTCCCCAAATCACATTATCCCAATCTAATAATAATGAGAAAAATATCAAACAGTCTGGGTGCACTGGCTCATGCCTGTAATTCCTATGCATTGGTAGGCCAAGGCAGAAGGACTGCTTAAGGCCAGGAGTATGAAGCTGCAGTGAGCTGTGATCGTGCCACTATACTCCAGCCTGGGCAATGAGAGAGACAGAGGGTTGGGGGGAGGAGGGACATTCTACAAAATGACCACTAATCCTGAAGACTGCCAAGGTCATCAAAAACAAGGAAATTCTGAGAAACTGGCACAGCTAGAGGAGCTAAGAAGACATGGTGACTAAATGTAATGTGACATCCTGGATGGGATCCTGGAGCAGATAAAGAACGTTTGGAAAAAACTGAGGGAATGTGAATAAAACTATGGACTTTAGTTAAAAATATTGTATCAGTATTACTTCATCAATTACAACAAATGTACCATACAAAAATAAGATATTAATAATAAGGGAAACTTGATGTAGGGCATACAGGAGCTATCCTCGCAATGAGTCTGTAAGTCTAAAACTGTTCTAAAATAAAAAAAGTTCATTTGCAAAGTGTGGTCTTATTTCTCTTTCTTATTTTTAGAGTAGCCTGAATCATCAACATCCCTGTGAAGGTTTTTGGTATGTGCTCATTTTGATGGAAATAAAATGCTCTTATCTAGGCATTGTTACAAGCTAGGATCAGTCATTTTGTTGTCTAGGCAACCATCAGTGGCCAAGCTCAGCCCAGGGGAAAAAAATGGCTGTCACTTACATGGCACAGACAGAGCAGTGGTGGCAACGATCTGGCTTGATCAGATGGCACCGGTCACAGAATCGTACAGCTATAGGAAAAAATAAGGTGGTTAGCACTTGTTAGGGCTCAATATGAGATCTTGTATCTTACTAGCCTATCTGGATGGCTTGTTATATATTGATTACTGACAGTCAAACTTATCTCAAGTTGCCAAGCAAAAGACAGATCACACAGAAAAATCATGGTATGCATTCTTTTCCTTGCTGGATCAATTTTCAAAGCACTTTTTGGAGGAAGAAGGGAAAATATCTAGATGTTTGTCATAAGATTTTTTATTATAAAACAAAATATACCATCAACTGCTTGAGGGATATTGTGAAATCATTTAGACTCTGTTTACCTAAACTTTCCTACATGAAAATAAGTATTCATACTTTATCTTCTGTCTTCAGTTAGAGTGCATGAGGTAGATAAAACTCCTACAACATGGCAAAGAGGATGGTTCTTAGAAAAACAATTTGGAGAACAGGAGAGACATTCTAGAACAATTGTTCAAATAACCTTTTCACAGATAAAGAATATAAAGACCTGAGCCATATCAAGTGCTATGCCTAAGGTCACACTGCAAGTTACTGGCAGAGCTGTGACCTGTACAGTTTTTCTGACTTCTTATTTTAAGATTCTCCTCACTCTATAAGTCTGTTATATAAAAAAATCATTTTTCCTTTCCTCTGTCCTTCCTTCTTTTCCCTTAGATGAAAGGCATTTCCTTTCCTTCTCATTTTCTTCATGTTCATTGATAGACTATGACTGCATTAAATGTGATTATTAAGTACAAAAACTAAAATTATGAATAATTTGAACTAATATAATAATTTCATCTAAAGTGCACATTATGGGTACATAACAGATTCAACACAATAGACTGCTATGCTAACTCAACAGAGTTTTGTGTTCATTTCTACCGATGAGATGTGTTTGTGCATGCATGTGTGCGCGCGCGCGTGTGTGTGTGTGAGTGTGTGTAAATAAAGTTGTGGGTATAATTGAGCCAAGAAGGAAAGGATAGGAACATGCATGTCTGGGTTTTTTAAAAATATCTTTTTAAATGCACCGTCAATGCCCCTATTCTAGTTTAAGCCACCGCCTCTCACCTAGATGACTGTAATTGATGTGTAATTGATCACTGTTTTCATTCTTCCTCCTCAAAATACTTACTATAGAGAGTAGCTGAATTATCTGTCAAAGTGTAAATCAGATCATATCACTCTCCACTTAAAACTCTCAATGCATTTTCAACACACTTAGAATAGAACCCAAACTCCTTACCATAACCTGTATTATCTGGTCTCTGCCTATCTCTTCAACTTTATCTTGTACCACTCTCCATCTACTATGCTCCAATGACACTGACTGCCTATCTGCTCTTGTAATTTGCTCCAATTTCAGGGCTTTTAGTACTTGCCGTCCCTTCTGCCTTGGATGGTAATCCCTCTGCTCCTTGCATGGTGTGATAGTTAATTATGTGTCAGCTAGACTGGGTCATGGAGTGCCCAGATATTTGGTTAAGTATTACTTCTGGGTGTCTCTGTTAGGGTGTTTCTGGAGGAAATTGACATTTGAGTTAGTAGACTGAGTAAAGCAGATTGTCCCCCCCAATGTGGGTGGGTGTCATCCAATCTTTTGAGGACCCGAAGAGAACAAAAATTCAGGGGAAGAAAGAATTTACTCTCTCTGCTTGACTACATGAGCTGAGACATCAATCTTTTCCTGTCGTTAGATCAGGGCTCATGTTTCTTAGGCCTTCAGACTCAAATTGGAACTTACATCATCAGCCCTATGCTGCTCAGGCCTTTGGACTTGAACTAGAATATACATCATGGGTTCTCTTGGTTATCAGGCCTTTGGACTCAGACTGGTACTACACCACTGCCTTTCCTAGGTTTCTAGCATGCAAATGGCAGATAGTGAGACTTCTCAGCCTTCATAATCATGTGAGCTAATTCCTCATAATAAGCCCCTGGAGAACACTGATACAGATTTTGGTATTGAAGGTGATTATAGAGAACCAGAATTTTAAGAGTGAGTTTTCTGAATTGGTTCCAGAGTTTCTGGGATTGGCTCTCCAACCTGATTAGATTTAACAATGCTAATGACTCTATTTCCAGTAATAGAGTACTGTACTAGTAATCCATGGTATGATCTGGCCATGGAGATATGCAAAATATCTCCAATGAACACTCTTAATCAGCCATTTATGAGAAGCAAGTAACTGAGTGACTATGTATATGATAATTTTTAACTAATTAAAACAATGAATACAACATACAAAGTGGTGAAAGAAAAGGATGAACTCAGGGATTCAAACTAATTTACCCAAAAACTTCTATGTATCTCCTGAAGGACGTGTTTATCTCCTGTAGCCATAGGACTGAGATTGCTGAAAATCAAACACAGAATTTTATTCTGTGACTAGTTGAATTACAAAGATAGTTGAACTACAAGTCTTACAGGTTATGTACTGTTAAAGTGAGGACACTAATTGGAAAAGAATAGGATCTTGTAAGTTAGGATAGGGATATGAGACAAGATCCCGATGAAGCCAGAGATATTGAATCCCTAAATTCTAATGAGAGAAGAGTCCTCCCCACCACAAGTGCAAGTGGCCTTCTTGCTGTTAGTAGTATGGGCCTCTCCACCTCTGTCTGAGGGGATTAACCCTGTATTGCTGAGGAAACTGAGTCCACCATGCAAGACAATGCTGATTCTCCTCAGGACCTACTTGTTTTTGCTTCTAGAACTATAATTAGACTCAAGACCCAGTAGATCCCCCAAAAGTGGATTGTAAAGTGTGACCCATGAAGAAGTGCTCTACACTCCAAAATAACTATTTAAGTTTTCTAACTTATACAGACAGAAATCCAGTGAAATGTGTGTGGGAATGGATTCTGAGGGTGTGGGATAATGGAGGAAAGAACATAAAGTTGTATCTGGCTGGATTTATTGATAGGGGCCCACTAAGCAGAGATTCTGCATTTAATGCTGCAGCTCAGGGAGTTAGGAAGTACTCTAACAGTTTTTTTGGTTGGTTGACTGAAACATGATTTTAAAAATGATTCACTGTGATTGAATTGGAAAAAACTAGACCTGCCTTGGTTTAATGTAGAGGGAAGGATTAAAAGGCTTAGGGAGGCTGGAGTGTTAGAGTAGATTTGTCGTGTAAGACCTTCTCACTCTAAATGGGATGGTCTAGAAAACACACCTTTTACTAATACAGTAAGAAATTTATAAAGAGAGCCCTGGCATGCTTGAAGAGCTCTGTGACTGTTCTCTGTATGCCAGATCTCACTGTACAAAATACAGTCACTGAACTGGGAAACCTAAATGCAATGGAAATAATTGGATCACAGGGTGGCAGGGGCCAAGTGGTGGTACTCAACTGCTAAAGGCAAAGTCAGTGTGGTTACCATAATGGACAGCAGAGTCAAAGCAGCAATCACAGTCTGACTTGTGCAGATCTATTGTGTCAGCTAGTTGATCATGGTGTTCCTAGAAGTGAAATAGATAAGAAGCCTACTACTTGATCTGTGTAAGCCGAAAAATTCTAGGAAAAGTGAACAGAAGTCTAATCTGAATCATAAAAACTGTCATGACCCCTCAATCAATTCCCAGACTTAAGCCAGTATATATATCCAAAATCCTTTGAATAAAGGGGAGGGTGGGTTCCCTTGAGGAAGGACCCCAGAACACTACCAAAATTTTATACTGTTAATTTCTCTCCCAGCTTTCCCCAAAGGGGCCTATGAACTTTTACCAGGATAACTGTACACTGGGAAAAATAAAATAATCAGTTATTTGGGGGACTACTGGATACTGGCTCTGAACTGATACTAATTCTAGGAAACCCAAAATATCATTGTGGTTCACCAGTCAGAGGTGGGGCTTATGAAAGTCAGGTTATCAGTGAAGTTTTAGCTCAGGTCAGTTTCAGAGTGGGCTTAGTGGGTCCTGGAATCCATCCTGTAGTTATTTTCTCAGTTCTGGAATGCACAATTAGAATAGATATACTCAGTAGATGATAGAATCCTCACAATGGTTCCATAACCTGTGGAGTGAGGGCTACTATGATGGAAAAGGCCAAATGGAAACTATTAGAGCTGTCTTTACCTAGGACAACAGTAAATCAAAAGCAAGATTAGTGCCACCATCAAGAACTAAAAGGATGCAGGCATGGTGATTCCTACCACATCAACATTCAACTCACCTATTTGTCCTGTGCAGAAGACAGATAAATCCAGGAGAATGACAGTGTGTTATTGTAAGGTCAATCAGGTGGTGACTCTAATTGCAGCTGCTATACCAGATGTGGTTTCATTGCTTGAGTAAATTAACACACCCACTAATAACTGGTATGCAGCTATTGATCTGGCAAAGCTTTTTTCTCCATCTCTGTCAACAAGCCCCATAAGAAGCAGTTTGTTTTTAGCTGTCAAGGCCAGCAATACACTTTTACTCTCTTACCTCAGTGATATATCAACTTTTTAGCTCTATGTCTTAATTTAGTTCACAGGAAACTTGATCATTTCCCTTCAATATCACACTGGTCCATTACATTGATGACACTATGCAAATTGGACCTAGTGAGAAATAAGTAGCAACTGCTCTAGACTTATTGGTAAGACATTTACATGTCAGATGATGAGCAATGAATCTGACTAAAATTAGGGGCCTCCTACCTAAATGAAATTTTTAGGAGTTCAGTGGTGGGGTATATGTCACCTTCAAAGGCAACTGATAAGTTGTTGCATCTGGTTCCTTCTACAACCCAAAAAAGAGGCACAATACCTAGTGGGCTCATTTGGATTTTGGAAACGACATATTCCTCATTTGGGTATGTTACTCCATTTACTGAGTGAACACCAAAACTGCTGGTTTTGAGTGGAACACAGAACAAGAGAAGGCTCTGAAAAATGTACAGGATGCAGTGTAAGCTACTTGGTCATGTGATCCAGCAAATTAAATGGTGCCTGAAGTGTCAGTGGCACATAGGAATGCTGTTTGGAGCCTTTGGCAGGCCCCTATAGGTGA